TTTTATAGCAAAAACAAGAGCCAAGATGTGTTGATAAGTCTGAGTTAGTGATCTGCAATTCAATTAAAAATAATAAATCCCTTCAGTACAATTGCTTGCTGAGAGACCCACTTGCAATATTAATAACACTGAACTTGATTACTATCTGATTTCATATCAGATATATTGGAAATATCTCCACACATGCACTACCATTATTTTGGAAGGTAACAGCTAAATGTTAAATATATAATTCCACCATTAATCCTACTTTTACAAATTTTTTTGTATAAATTTTCTCAGCAGATCCATGGTAGAACTAATATTAGCCATTTTCAAATCTGGATCATGCTCTTCATTCCCTAAAAAAAAGGGGAATTTAATGTGAAGGCAGTTGTCCTTTCTCTGCAAATTTCAGTAGCTCCAGGGGAGAGTTCGTACAGATGAGAATCCCTTCTAGTTTTTCTAAAATAAAATGCTTAGTGATTTTTCAAAGGTAGCAACAAATGCTTACCTTCACAGCGTTCAACAATTGCCAAGTTGGAATTTTCTCTAGGAAGACTTTCTGCTGTAATTAGTTTATATATGCTTTGTTTTATCTGGTCATTGACTGAAATAAATATTCCATCTATCTATCTATCTATCTACCATCTCTCTCTCTCTCTCTCTCTCTCTCTCTCTTGGAAAGCAGACAGTGAAAAAGATTGGATCTTTGATTCTCTGCTCTTTGACAGACAAATATCCACATATGAGATTTAAAACATTTAAACAATTTTGACTTCCATAAGAACTGATATAGATATAGATGTTTGCATGTGCGTGTCTCTGTGTTTGTGATGATAGATGGATAGTATTGCTTCTAAATATTATTTCAAATGTTAATGCCACAGCTCCTCCTTCTCCTCCTAGATTGTTGAAATGAGAAAGAAAAAATAATTTGGAAGCAGATATTCCCCACCCCAACCCACCTCCCTCCCCCCACAAACCATAAGCAAACTGTACTGTCATTACTTCTGATGATTATCAGGACACAGATAGAAGTCTAAAGCATCCAACTCCTTACATAAATTCAAGAAAAAAGTCTTCCCAAGATGTCTTCTGAATGTGATCTTCTCTGACACTACAAAGCTCTGAGAAATTATTCCACCAAGAATGAGGTCCCCTGGTTCATGGTATTTATGGGGAAATGGACTGGGGTCACTTTTAGTGCCTTTTGAAAAAGAAACTTTGGAAACACTCCTAGGAAGCATCCCTAAGACCAACATCCCAACTGCAAGATATGAAAATCTTCCTGTAAAAAAACTGTTCACTTCCCCCATGACCAGTGGAATATTCTCCAATTGAACAGCCAGGATTCAACTGGAAGGCCAAGGAAGTTGAGAACAAACTTCTAGCTATTGAGTTAATTTCAGAGGGAATGTTTGAAGCACCCTTTAGTCTTAAAGGACCAGACTGGTAATGTCTTGTTGTATTTTATAGGAAATTGTCAAACTGAAAGGAGAAGTCATTCAAGATTATAAGGACAGGGCGGATGATTACCTCACCAGAGTTCTTCATTATTCAAAACAGTGAGGAAAGAAATATGTTTTTCCTGATATTGTACAGAGATTTTACAACTTATTCCCATGGTCCAATTACACCAATTTTTGTAATGACTTATCTCAGAGAATGCCAGAAGGAAAATGTGATCACAACAGATAAGTAACTTCTGAAGAATGTTTTTCATGAGGTTTGCATTAAGCATTAAGTTGAAATCTGTGCATGTTCATGAGATGCTAAAAATCAAAAGGCCTAGAACTTCAAGGTGGGTCCTATCTTGAGCACTCTTGCTTGGATAGATTTTATACAGATTCTCAGAATATCTTGAAAATTTTCCGAATGTGCTATAAATGATATAACCTGCAATGAAAAATAAAGAAATGCAGATATTCCCTGAGCTGTACATGGATTTCCAAATCCCATGTATTTAAGGCTACCAGAATTTGTCTGTAACAGGGAACTGGTTCCGCTTTTCTTCAGTAGAAACAAAAAGAGAGACAGAGACCTCTAGAGAGAATTCATAGTCCTATGTGCTGACCCACAAAGACTATAATCTCAAAAGGAACAGGTCTCTATTGATACCAGTTGACTTCTGAATATGAAATCTACATTCGAGAAGCTGGAGAAGTACCAGGGCCTGAAGGAGGAAATAGAGAGGATGTGGAAAGTAAAGGACAAAGCGGTCCTACTGGTGGTAGAACCGCTCAGGGCTGTGACTCCTAAGCTGGGAGAATGGCTCCAACAGATCCCAGGAACAACATCCGAGCT